ATCAATATCCCATGATATGAAGGCACAGAGGTTAACTTGGGCGGAGAATGTAGCTCGTAGCAACCCATCTGGAACCCTCTACGTAACAATGAATGAATGCCTCAATAGAAGTCAAAATATGTGTAAGGCCAAAAAGCAGATGGATAGATAGAATCATCAAAGATACAATAGAGCTGCGTTCAGATAATTGGATAGAAATAGCCCAAGACAGGCAGAGATGGAGGCGGCAGAAGATCTACTTGCTCTGTGATGCCAACGAGGAAAAACAATATATATAGATATATATACAATTAAATCTATGAATCATTTCAAAATTATGGATTATTCTTTGTCACAGAGCTTTTGAGAGGGATTCTTTTTTAGTAGGGATTTCCCATTTTCTTACATATTTATCCCTTCACAACCTATTAATCTGATGTCTATATAATAATATTAATAATTATTATAATTTATCCATTACCCAATTTTTCTCTCTTTGAACATGTCACAAGCTATTTTATAGAAAGTATAATCTTCTTCTCCGTTTTTATCATATCATATTCCGAAGCACAAGAATATTAAGATGCATAGAGTACCATTGCTATTTATTCATTAGCGCTGGAACAAAGAGAATAATGGGGTTAGACCAAGGTTATAAAGGCATACATAAACTGACCTAGCCAGTAATTTATTACCTATAATATAATATAATTATTACTTGTACTAGCACGCCACTAGGAGAAACAAGGATATTTCTAACCGGAGACTGGTGGTACTGCAGAATCAGAATCAGTTACTGGGATACATCCTACCTTCACCAATCGCAATGAAAGTTTTAATAAAACTGTTTTTAAAATGTATATGTTTACTTTATATTCTAATTTATTTAAATTATTTAAGTTTAATAGGGCGTAAAACATCCTTGCCATCAACGAACGTAGGTTTATTTGGATTTAATTGGAGTGTGTTGGTTATCCACTAATCCGAATTGGACATAGCTCTTAGCGGGAGACGTTCCCAGACCCGAAGGGGCCAGCCAGAGTCGATAAGGCGCCAACACGTTAGCGTGGTGGTTCGTGGATGGAGGCACTAGCTTTTGCCAGAGGATGTGGAATAGATAAAACTATATAAGCCGCCTTATGTATATATGTACATTCCACTACTGTTTACAATTAGTAAACAATATATAAATATGGAAAAGGTCCACATCCATCCTCGGAGCTAACATGTTCTATTGGACCACCGGTGAATCTGTAGTATGAACGGTATCGATCGTCGGTAATATCAAAATATTGACGTTTCTTCCGATATTCCATATTTTACCATCAATGGCATCTACTTCACTTCTATGTTAACGACTACCGATACTGTCCCTATGCTGTTTTAATATTTTAACTTAAAAATAAAAATAAAAACTATCGTTTTCGGAAAGCTCTCGAGCTCATATGTGATTCTGATAGCCGAAAAAGAATTTATACTCATCTTGCTTGTTCTTGTTTAGGGTTTTTTGCGTAGTAGACTTGGAGTTGTAATAACTCTAACAAGTAACTAATAAGTTAGGCTATAAACCTATAACCATAGGATCTGCACTAAAATTAATTAATTTGTATCATAGCTTTGTTGGGAGTGATTTCTGATTATAAACTCAATTTCTCCAAATTTGTTAGTTAGAAACTTTTCAAACGAAAGTTACAAATTGTCAAAGAAATCTTTGTGGGATGCGTGAAAATTAGCACTTCCCTGAATCTGATCCATGGGTGAATGGAAGGCATAATTGGTTTAATGGAAATTCATTGGAAAAAATTGAGGATGACGAAGATAGACAAGAAACAGAAAATTAATTTTACTGAGGAGGGCATTTCAATTTTAGAAGAATTGATATTTAATTAATTTCAAGAGAAAAATGACATATTTTTTTATGTGTCTGTTTGCTAAAGAGCCGGTATTCATATTGTTATTTATATTTCAAGATTACTTGTTTTCAATAATATTTCTAATTTTTATGGTGTCGATAATTATTAGCCTATATTTCTATGCGTGCCAATATTGTTATTAGATTTTCATATCCCATCCCCAATCAAGTCCCCAGTAACAGTCCCAAGGGATTTAATAATTTATTGAAATTATTAACTAAAACTGAATGAACAAAACATCAGTGTGACAAAATATGTTCTATTAATTTCTCTGTTACTGTCACAAAATGTTTTTATTGCGGGAGTTAAAATCACTTTATATTATATTAATATTTGAAATTTATCTCATACTAGTGTAGCCCAAAAACGATCTTCGACTTTGCAAGACCAAGACTGGTAAAAAAAAAATCTATTTTTTAAAATAAAAATAAAGGCAAAATAGGTATTAATACCAAGACTCGTCTTGGTCTCACATTTGCACAACCCTATCACATACAGACAGATAGAATATATGTGTAGTGGAATTTAATGTTGTTGTGTGAGAGATATCAGATTTAAAATGTTTAATTAATTATCACATAAATACATTTTATGTAATAATTTTTATTCTACTGAAAATTTAACAAATGAGCAATGGAAGAACACACAGTGGTTCTGTAAAAAGACTGAAGTTTATTTCTTGGTAATGCTTGTTTTATAAACTTTCTAGTATTCCCGGTGTTGAAACGTTTTGTTCTTACTGTAAACAATAGCCATTTAGCTGTGCTGAGTGGACAGTCCGCCATTTTAGGCATTGACATCTCGTTACACGACGAACATCACTAAAGGAGTAAACACATTTTATATCCTGCCGATGGGGAATAACATTAGATGGATGAGATTGGACCATTCCATCGATGTCCTTCCACTAAAAGAAGGGTTCCTTAGATAGCACAAATGGAGCTGCCAAGGACACGCGGAATATATTGAGGCAGGGTCAGCAGGGCAGGGGGTAGAGGCGGAGTTGGTACTTAGTGACCCCAATTCCGGGATATATTCACTTTGTTAGGTATCTCCTACATCTAATCCTGCTAATGGTGCAGCAAGTATACTGATGTATTACACTGCCGATACATAAATTAATCTGAAACTTTTTAATAGGCTTAGACATATCAAGGAATTTCACGAAATCAGTATCAAGCTGATTATTACTGAGGCTGTATGGTGAATTAGGTTTCGTCTTATTCTGAACCTTCAAGCCATATTCAAGGTTCACAGGACTAGAAGGAATCTATTAATTTACCAAATAGGTGGATAAATGATCCACCTTTACTTTTGTATATGAATATGTATTTAAAGGAACAATCTGGGAATATTTTATTAAATTTAATTTATCTACAATATGTTGTAGATACAATCTGTTGACCTTCCAACAGTTGACAAACATATACCGATCCTTTATCAACGATTTTACACTAATTTAAACGGACATAATATGAGTAAATAAATAACAGACTAATAAGAGACATGGCTATAGCTGACATACCTCAGAACATGAGGAGGAGACTAGAAAGGCGTTGGATGAGGGGTATCCTTCCTTAGACAACCTAAGTAATTGGAACAAGTTAGGAAAGAGGTAATGTTGAGTACTTTTCTTCCCCATTCCTGTTCATTATTTCCTATATCGCCATCATATTTGCTGATTGTCAACAATAAGTTCACAGGCGCAAATACATTTTTATATACAAAAAAAAAAGATATATGGGAAATATATGTACCTTGTCCATAACGTATCTTTGGCCGCCCTAAGAATAAGAAATCCCACCGAAGGAAATTCAGTATTTGTGGCAAAATTGAATAGACTGCCGAAACACACAGCTGATTTTGGTGCCTCTGATCTTTTCTTATTTTTTTTATAACATTGATAAGAGAATTGGAAAAGTATTTTTTCTTTACTTGATATAATAATTTTTATTAAAAAAGTACATAAACATACTCAAAATTATTAGTCGATCGATTTATAGTAATCTTTCTAGCTACTTTTGAAGGCAAGTTTCAAGTAATTTATGAAAAATTGTATGTCAAAATATGTCTCTTATGAGAATAAATCCTTGATTTGTGATTTTTACTGAATACATTTATAAAATATTATTTACTGATTGCCAGCGTAATATATTGTGGGCTTTCAACAGATAACATGAAAAAGTTAGCTTAACAGTGTAGATAAGTGATACTTATTATTGAATTATAATTATGATTCCTGATACAACAAATATTACCCAAGACACAATTAATAGCCTAGGGTAAAAGTCGTTACCCAAGTTACAATATAGGTTGGTCCAATGTACAACTATAGTAATTGTACCTGTAATAATTTTAATTATCATTTTTAAAAATTGTGTTTTTACATTGTCAACATCTGGTGATAAGCTAATGAAAAAATTAATTTCGTATCATCCAAGCACGACAAATAAAATTATATTTTTAACTTTTAAAAATAGTTGTTTTAAAGGTTATGAAGCATTGAAAAACCGTGACCCAAGGTACACCTTTTTCTCCTTCATTAAATCGAGGGCATCATGGCTTAGGGGTTATCAGATCGTCGAGTGATTGGTTCGATTAGTGTAGGTCGCTTCCAACCTGATTTAATATTTATGTCTTGGTGGTTCCAAGAAAAGAATCTCAACACTCCGACTCTTGTTAGGGGACAACCTATAGAAAGCCGTCAGGATTTGGTAAGAAGGATCACGAAAACCTCTTGCCGGAGTTTCAAGAAGGAATACCATCATCATATTTGTATATATATTTATATATTATATAATTCGATCCTCGATCGTATCTAACATCGGGATTGATGAAAGTAATTAGACGGTACTGGTGTTGGATAAAATTAGGGTATTTCCATACCTCAAATGTTTACATGTTGTTAAAAATTGAAAGAAACTTTCATTAGGTATATCGCGCAAAATTTAAACTATCTGGCATATAGACTTGTTCAGATACCAACCGGGAAACATGGAAGGGTATTTTCTACCTCGAGAGCAAACCTAAGATAAAGAATACCCCGAGCCGTATCAAATTACTGGGATAGTCTCTATAGCTCAACATTATTGGATCTAGAGCTCGGGAATGTTGTGGGGCTTACCGGGGCTTAGTTTGCGGGGAAGCTGCGGTACTTATTAATCCCGGCTGTAGTCTGGCCTAGCCAACCGCAATTATAACTGAGTTAGCTAGTGGCCGTTCATCATAAAATGCTATCTAACTCTAATCCTCTGCCTGGATAACATTTCTACGGCCTGCTATCTGCAGAAGGTAATGGGAGTAAGGAATCTGCGTCTATAGCTGGGGATACATTTTGTGGATACAATCATTGACGGATCCGCGGGAGAAGGAGGGCTTTCGGGCTAAAGCCTCTTCTCGGAAATTTTTTTTTTTTATTGTTCCATATCTGAGCTACAATGAAACCTCTTGATAAGAATCACTCTCTTTAAGGAACACCTCTATTTTTGGACAGTTTAAAAAAAAAAATCTATTTTAGTAACACTTCTCGTTAAAGGAAAAAAAATAAATTACCATGGCTGTTCATCATCCAGAGGTTTCACTGTATATATACGCCTATACAGCTCCAAATATTAGCAAGTATCAATAAAAAAGACTAAATAAAAAATGTATAAGTTTGAATAAATTACCCCTAAAAGTATTAGTGTTCCTGTGAATAGATTTTTTTTTTACTAAATTAATTTATTATTTATTATCATCAGGCCTTTGAGGACTACTTAAACATCATTTTATCTAGTTTCTTTCTTTTATTTCGTCCAGAGTTATTTCCATTAAAAAAAAGCAACATCTAATATATATATATATATATATATATAATATATATATATAATATATATATATATATTGATACACGAAGGATTGGTAGAAAAAAATTAACTATTTCACTTTTAAAGCAGAGTCAAGAAAAAATTATATGAATCATTAATTTTTTTTTAAATATCTAAGAAATGAGTTGTAATGACTGAGGAATTATGAATCATTATTTTATTACTGTTTGCGAAGTTGTCAATTAGTCTCCTATAAGGAACGAACTCGTTTTATATACTAGCAAGACAACTTTTTCCTGTCATGTCGTTTGTTGACTAATGATATACAAATATGGGAAAAATCAAATAAAAATATCAATGCATAAATGAGGTTTCAAGTCAGAGCTTTTAAGGACTCTCTATCAGGAAGAACTAACGTATTAAGGGCTTAGAGACTAAATTCTTTGTGAAATTGTATTTAAAGTTAGTTATCAAGAAACCGCTTTAATGTCAAAAAATTAGTTACTTTTTTAAAATTCTTTTTGTGCAAAAAAAAATTATTTCGTCTTTTTAAATAAGATTAAAACTCCATGTTTCAGATGTTATTCTTACTTTTTGTTAGTGTCCAAGAGACTGTTTAAATTTTGCTAAATATCATACGGACTTTCAAGGGAAGAGATTACAGACGTGGGTATTTCAATAAAACATCTTTTTATATAAAATATTATATAAATTTAATTAATATGGATATAAAATATACCCTCAAGTCCGGTTGTTTTCTTAGCAATGCGCTCTAGAAGTCTAGAAAAAAAAAATTATATAATCTTATAATTTTGTTATATTATTGTTTTCTGTCTTTGCTTGGATTTCTATTTTTTTTTTTTTTTCAGAAAAAGTTTGCAAAATTCGTTACTACACCTAACTATAGTCGTATAGTGGCTCCTTATGCGCATGAAGATCCTTCGCTTCTGGCAAGAATCCTTGGACATGGGTCTAATATTTTTGACCTAGTACCACCAAAACAATTTTTCATTCAATCGGTGATGCGTCGCTCGAAAACTACCACTGCTTGAATCGATGAGATACTAGAGTGGGATATTTAAATTTTGTGTTAATTTATGACATCAGAGTTTTCTGCAATTGTAATTCGAATCTTTTTTTTTTTTTCTTGTAATATATTCTGTGTTGTTAAATTTTTCTCAATAATAACAATTAATATAAAATATATTAGTATTAGTTATTTACTCCTTTCGTTTAGGATCATGGCAGTTTATTAATTTATTTATATCTGCCATGACTGGAACTAGTTATTAGAAATATGATTTATAATACCCCTTTATTGCCGCCTAAGCTCTTATAATGAAGTATTGCATTTTTTATTATATATATGTAATTGTCATCATAATTTATCTCATAAATAAGTACCCATTATATCCTAGATCCTTCGGATAGGTTTTTTTTTTCAATAATATCACGGAGTATTATAATGATATATAAAACTTCAGCAATGGTTTCCTTATGTGCAGTTTAATGCTTTATTTCCACTTTTCAACTAGTTCGACATAGACACATGCAACGTTCAATGCGCAACTTCTTCACGGCAAAAGGTCTTTTTGATTTACAACATTGTAGACCATGAACTGGACCAGATCTAGAATATGTTTAGCGTAAATCACCGCTTAAAGTTCAGGTTTCGGTTGCGCAAAACTTCAAGACTTCTTGGGTACCACCTAAAATGCCTCGAGCCTTCTTCATTACACTGTTCAGAAAGATACCTTCATAAATTACTTCAGTACCTATTCGTTGCTTTAAATGTGCAAAGCTATTTGAATTTTTTCTTAACTTTGTTTGTTGATTGGCTTGTTTAAAAACTGAGACTTTCTTTCTCATGTTTTTTTAAAATTTGCATGTGTATAAATTAAATATACATTTAGTAAATTTGTACACAGAAATAAAATCGCACTAAAAGAATTGAGGAACTTTTACCGATTGGTAGAACTCTAATAAAGTATCTAAATTAGGAGATCATGATGCCATCTTCTTTTCAGATGCCTCGGGGGCTTATCAGGGATCGAAGAAGAAGCAAGATTAGAAATGAGAGGATTAGGATGGTTTTGAAGTTTATTGTGGAATAATAGGTAACTGGATTGGACCAAATCGGGAACATTAAGACAGTTTTGGATGATTTTATTTGTGACGAAGTAAGGAGCATCGAGGATTTTGGATTGTAAGGATTGGATACGAGAGGAATTCGATGGTTTAGTGGAGCCACAGATCTCAACTCCATATGTTTAAATAGGCCTTACTGTAGTCATATATATGTGTCTTGTTTAGTTAATTTGAAGTTTAAAAATGTTTGTCTAGTAAGTGCTGAAGCAGTCGTAAACGTCGAGCGGTTTCTTGTCTTTTTAATCTGATATGAGTCTCATGTTTTTAAATTGAATTGTTGAGCGGTTAAGACATCCACGTACTAGATTTCAATTGTATACTATTGTTTACAAGCATGAGCCCTTAACTTAACAATTTTTATTAAATTTGTTTAATAAACCTTAAGTATTAAATACCACAATATAATTTTGAATAACATTGCAAGATGACACAATATCGAAGATATCTATGAAAAAAAGGTGTGAATGGGATAAAAGTTTACACATTTTAATAACTAAGCACAAGTTCATTTTTAATATTTATAAAAAACATAATTGTGGTTACTTTGTTAGGAATATACATTTGTATACATATTATAAATATGATGTAGTTGTACTTAAATATCTTCTTCTTTTTTCCCTTATGTAAGCTAATTTTTTTTTTAACTTATAAGTGTTTTAAAGTACTGAAAATTGACTTTATTTGTTTTTAATTATTTTATATAATAGTTTGTTTTTTTACGTTTTTAAGTACATGCAATAATATGTAAATTATCTGAAAAGCTATTCCTGTATTCTTAAGTGTAGAATATATTTCAAGCAACTATTAACTTGTTGGATTATATCGGGGTTCGTTTGTAATCTAAAATTTTCATAAACATCTAAAACTGTACAATTAATCACAAAGTATGACTCCTAAGATTTTAGTAAACATTCAAAAATATCAAATCTTAGTTGTTGGTTTTTTATTTCCTTGGTATCTAATGTTTTTAACGAAATAGCAAGATGTGTTATTAAAGTTTCACATTAGTAAACGTATTATATTTTGCACTAATTTTTCTGCAAACTTATAAACAGTCAAAATATTCGACATCTCTGTTTAAAATCAAGAATTTGAATCGAATTAAGTTTTTTTAGATGATTTTTAAAAATATTTTCGAGCTTATATCTGACTCCGAAAGTAGCTGGAAATTTTAAAAAATATCTGAAATGACATATAAAAATAAAATTGTATTTTCTAAAAATATCCAAGCTATATTTCGTTGTCAATAATGATCAGTAATAGAGTTTGTATACCGCCCTATATAAATAAAATTATTTTTGACTCTCAATAAGCATTTCATAAAAAATGGTTCGGTTCAATCCTGGTTATATTGATGAGATTTTCTTAGAATTAGGAAACAATTGGATATTTTTTCACAAAATTGTTCAAACAATTGGATCACCTCTTTGAACTTATTTCGACCATTTAGCTTAGGCGATGAGAATTTCTCATTTTCATTTTTTAAAATTCTGGAATATCCAGCACATTCGCCACCAAATCTTCCTTCTCTTCGCCTTAACCCTGTTTATAAACTTTACGATAACCGTTCTCAGAGGAAACGTGACGTTGTTTTCTCCGAGTTGTGACTGGCTTGTTTTGAGGTCATTGGGGATCTAACCTTTGCCGCTACCGCATTCAGCAACAGTTAACTAAGGCCGATTTCTTTACTCTCAGCTCCTGCCCCAGATGTAGATTCTCACTTTTACCTATTCTTATTTCCACCAAAAAATCGAAAATTTTCAGTTAATTATTCGTTTGCGTTACTACGTTTGATTGATTCCATTTATAATGTTTACATAATTATTAAAATTAAAATTATTAAAAAAATAGCTAACAAGTCACTTTTTAGCCAACTTATACCTCATCACGGTTAAAACTACATGATTACATTAATGGTAACCAGATATAGCTCAACTGGCATGCGAACATTCTACACATATTCAAACGTTTTGTTCTCTCGATATTTGAAACAGAGAAAACCGTTACTATATTTTAAAAGGTGACTATAGTTTAAATTGACTATAGTTCCTGTAACGGTACCTATTGTAGCAGTTCTAAATAACAGTAGCAGTTAGGAGTGACCCAGAGACGAAGCGTGACCTCTACTTGAGCAGGAGCTGCTCCCTCACGTACTCCGAGACCATTTGTCTGCTGTTGGCCCATTCAGCGCCTTCGGTGGCCTCAAGCTGCAGCCTCTTCTTCTTGTCGGCTCATCCATCACCTGCGATCTACCGAGGTGATGGATACGTTGGATTAATCATTTTCTGCACCTACATGCTTGCCAACACCGGAATCGTCCGATTAGTGAATCCATTTTTTAAGATATTCCCTTGTGAAGGAAGTCGAACAATCGCAATATACCTGCATAATTTTTATATGAAAGGTGCTTAGCCTTTTAACTACATTCGTTTTAATATGCTGTTGAGAATAATTAATTAGGGATTAGCATGCGTAATGAATTCGCGTACTTTTAGCTTAGAACGTTTTAATATCCTGGTGGGATGGTCATTTGTTTTGTTTACTTAATAAGGATTACACTTAATTATGATGTTATATTTAGTTGCATTTTTCGAAAAGTATGTATTTCTTTATCAGCGTCAAACAAAGATTTCTGTTTCTTTTTTGATTTTTTTTTTCTTTTTGGCATTTATAAAAATTTAAAGATACGATCAATTTACATACTGTACAAGAAACTATACATCGGTAAGACCTACGAGTAAATGACTGTACTGCTTTGGCAGCTTTTGTGGTCATCATCTTTTCACACGCCTGAGAGTATCCGGAAGATATTAGAATGACAAGTTAGGAACTTTATGTAGATATGAAGTTTTTAATTAAAGGAGTTTTTTCCTATTTCGGGCAAAGACTACAGGATATCAAATATTGAGATTTAAATGTATAATTTTAGATATAATATTGAATTAATGATTTTCTTGAGCTACAAAACCGTACTTCTTATTATAAAATAGACTTGAAAATAAATGGTAAGGTACAAATTATTTTTCCCATAAATTGGAGGTCTATCGTTTTATATTTATTGCTTTCAAATCATTTAAAGAATTCTATGCATAAAATTCTGATATTATTATACTTGCTAAAATACAAGTGAAAAATTTAATTATCCGATATTCTTTGAAAAATTAACATTTTGTTATCTTATTTATATTTTGTTTATTGATCGATTTAAAATATTTTCATGTAAATACATTTTTTTAAATGTTTAATTTAATTTACCTCAGGTATTTTATTTTTATGTTTAAACTGTTTTATTCATTAGTATAAGGGTCACGATAAGGACAATGGTTATAGTGAGAAAGAATTTGGTCACATCATATATGCAGAAAATATAAACAAATTAATAGTAAGAAAAAAATTTTAATTTAATAATTTAAAATAACATCTAATAGACATGGCTATTATGCTATTCTCACTTTAACAAAAAAACTCCAGAAATAGTTTTCTCCACTTATGCAGAGAACATCAGGATTCCTGAAGATTCAAATTGAGTGAGAGCACAATAGCCAAGTAGTTCAGATATCTTGAGCGGACAATCTAGCCATTGCCGGAACTCAAGTGTATTTACTATATATTTACATAGTATTGAATATGTTTACGACTATATTTACATAAGGTCGCAGGGCCACTGCCGTTTCAACCTTCCTAGAGAATTATAAGGATAGGTAGAGATAGATAGGGACTGTTCTGCAGGAATTTAGACGGTTCTAATGGATTTTAATCATATGTATAGAGTTAAGTTCAAGGTTTCAGAACCGCAGTTCTTTGCGCTGTAAAAAACAGGTATATTTAAATTATAAATTATTATTATATCAACTTATTCGTCGTAAAATTTTGACCCGTTGTACTACAGTATCTTTGTAGTAGATCTAACGCTCTTAGCTTCCAATTAATTACGAAATAATCATAACTATAATGAAACCTACTCTTATTTGGACTTACGGAGTTGAGCTTCAGGGTTCTTCTAAAATCATCGAATTCCTCTCGTCTTCAATCCTTACAATCCAAAATCATCTTTACTCCTTACTTTTCATCAAATAAAACTGACCGCAATGACTTTAATGTTCCATATGTTGCCGACATGGTTCAATCCAGATACCTATCCTTCCATAATAATCATCAGAACCCTCTCGTTTCAAACCTTGCTTCTTCTTCGATCCTTGATAACCTTCCAAGGCGTCTGAAGAGAAATGGACTTCTGATGAAGAACATTTATTAACCATCAAGGGGTTGTTTCTCTACGAGGCTTTTAATGTCATTATATTTACTGAATTTATTTTAATTTTAATACATTTAATGAATAAAAAATATACTCTTATAAAAGTATATATTTTGTTATATATATTCTCTGAAAATATGTCCTCGATTCACGGTTTTTACTAAACAAGTTTATAATATAATAGTTACTGACCGCAAGCGTAATATATTATAAAGAATGACTGATGACTTATTAGTAATATATTATAGGCTTTCAATGGATGGCATAAAAAAGTTAGCTTAACAGTGTAGATAAGTGGTAATTGTTATTGAATGATAATAATAATTACTATTAAAATAAATATTGCTCAAGACATAATTCGTAGCCCAAGATATACGTCATTGCTCAAGGTAGAATATAGAGTTGCCGAAGGTACAACTTTAGTAATTGTACATTAGGTCATTTATTATTTTTTTAAATTAACTTTTTTTTTTAATAGTCATAATCTGGTGATAAAATAATTCAAAAATTGACATACTATCTTTAAAGCTTGACATATAAAATTCTATTTAGAACTTTTAAAAACCATTGTTACTTTAGGAGTTATGGAGCATCAACTCAACTAGCAATTAGCAACTAGCAACTAGCAAAGTGTCACAAGATATCCCTATTTCTCATATATGTATATATACTTTTATTTTTTTTCTCCTTTAAAGTGGTGATTATTTTCTTTTATATAAGTATGTATATTATATATTACATAAAATATGGGATAAAATAATGCTAATTTATCAACAGTTAATTAACTGAAATTAATAATTTTTTTAATCCCAAATACATTACAGATGAAAATTTTTTTATCAATAATAATAAACCTTTATTTAGCTATATTAACATATATTTTTGTAACGTTTCGCCCATTTGGCCATTTTCAAACATTTCTTTACATATATTATGTATGTCATATGTGGATATTCTTTATCACCTGCTTATGTTTTTGTAAAATTGTTTGTCAATATCATCTCTATTGGTTCTTAATACCAGTAATGCGGCTCAGTGCGAGGCGCTGGGATCTCCTAGAGTCCTGCCTTTCCTTCCACGATTGGGGAGAAAGGCTTGACTCGGAGTTCTTCTGAGTGAATGGATTCTGTAAATATTGTATAGTATGCATGTGTTATAGTTGTTATTTTTACTAGGTTAGTTCTTTTGTTTATATTCAATTATTTTTATTATTATTAGTTTCTGTATTATTTATTTTTATTTATTGTAAATAGAGTGTGAATGTGCTCTCTGAACACTATTATAAATGTCCTTGATTGTGACAGAATGTGATATTTCTAAATAAACAAATAAAAAAAATGAATATCATCTAAAAAAATTTTCTTTTTGCCTGTCAGGATTTTTTTCGGTGGTTATTTTTTCATTACAAACCACATTTTCTATACATGTCTCATCACCAACTTATAACTAAATAAAAGTTTTTTTTTAATTCTTTATAAGAGAATGTTTAAGTGTTAAATAATTTAGTGTTATTATAATCCCGCTCTGCCTGATACTCCGCACCCCGCTGTTCGGCGCGTGGCTCCCCCCGAAGACAACAGTTAGCATAAGGCTGTCGAAGGTAGCTGGAAGCCCAAGAACAGGGTCGGTGGCCCCCCCAGATCGGCCTTGAGTTGTGATTTCTTTTCTCTATTCAAGATGATCAGTTTGATTCTTTTTGTTGGCGATAACTGGTGCCCCTCATTTAGGATGCAGATCGCTCTAATGATTCGGCTTATTCCGCTCCTTTTGCTCCTTCACAACTCCGATGAAAGGCTATCGGCTAAGCCTCGTGTTTAGGAACTTAAGGTCTACTATTTCCCCTCTTTTCACTTTACAAAGGAACTTACTTCGGCATCCTACTTTATTGAGCTCGTTTTGACTTCGAGTATATGAAGAGCATAAGCTTGCTATTGTTTTTCTTCTTATTGCAATTTTATTGAGATCTTTACTGAAAAAAATTATTTTTGTTTAAGAAAACGAAATCATTTTGTTGTGCCCTATCTTCTATACTTTCGAGTGTGATGATAATTATGCGTCATATCCGAAACATGGATATTCCAGAATTGTTTTTTCCCCTTTAGGAACTTTAGTCCTTGTATATTTTTTGTTGACAGTAAAATTTGTTTGTTTTTACGTCAATTACACAATGCTAACAGGATGTAGTAATTTTAATTACTTTAAAAGATACTAAAGATAATAAAAATAGCATTAAGAATTCTTTGTAATGTTTAAATTGTTATCGAATTATATTAAGTATTTCTTATTTTTAATGAATTGGAAAAGATTCAGCATAACTTTTGGGATAGCGTTATGATGAAGAAAGAAAATAGAAGAAATCGCTTGTTTTTATATACATTTGTTTTTTCTCCAATAATATGATTATATGTATTACATTACATATATTACATTCAGATACCAGCTAACTGTTAACACCACATATGTATTGTGTAGCAATAATATAATATATGCATAGTACATGCAGATAGTGACATGCATTTCCTACTTTCGACGTAGGAATTTCAATACATCTATTAATTTTTTTTATTCAATTATAACTAACTTTTTTTTAAAAATATATATACAAGCAAAGTTTTTTTATTAAATGAAATTATTCTATTTTGTCTCTTTTTCGTTCTTCATTTCTCAAAGTTTATGTTTATACTGTTCAACCATTAAATATAGTTTTTTTCATAGTTTTAAGTGATTTGTTCATAGTTTTAAGTGTTTTGTACATAGTTTTATCTGTATTGTATATAGCTTGTTCACCTAAGGTTTTCTTTACTTTTTAGTTTATTTTATCAATTTTATTTATTGTTTCAAACTTCTAGGCCAGTAGTATTCTATTCTTTCTGTACAATTTTGTTATTCTTAAGGGACTTAGTCCAAGAATAAAGTTTATTTTTTATCTATCTTTTTTATATCCCCTCCTAATGTGTATATGTCATTTTTCCCCTCTCAATCTACGTTTTTTTTATATATAGTTTACAATACTATTTATTTTTTTATATTACCAGTGTGATTATTCATTCAAAGCTCTCAAGTAACTGATATAAATAATTTATTTTATTTATTTATTTTCCCTCTGTGTCGCTACTGATTTTGTCATAAAATTCATTTACTGTTCCTTTTCTACTTTATTTATTTATTTATTTTTATTTTATTTTTCTTAAGCAGTGATATTGCAATATTGTGATCCTATTGCTCAGCTGCTTCCATTTTTTTATTTACAAATATAATAATCTGTCACGTGGACAATAATTATAGAGATAGTTACAGAATTATTACACCTTCACGCCATATATACAGCAAACATAAAATTAACAAAAGTAAAATAATAACTAAATAATAATCAAAAACTATGAACAAAAAAAACAAAAAAATAAGCTAAAGATAAGTAAATTCAAAACATAAAAACACTGTCATACGTATATACAATCAGACAGGGAACCCCAAGCCAAGCTTCTCCCTCCAACTATAGAAGGAAAAACAGGGCGTCAAGAGATCTTTGCGCTACTCTCTCAACCGCGTAGCTGGTGCTAAAGCAAGCGGAGTTTGAGCGAGAGGGTTTAATACATCTTTAAGTTATGTATATTTTATTACTTATGTTTCAGATATTATTTTATGTAATAGATGTTTTGGCCAGATGTAATGCTAATCTGTATGTACATTATTGTTATTGTTAAAGGTCCCAGAATAACGTTGATATTTCTATTTGTATTGAATTTTAAATAGTTTTGTTTATTTAACTGTTGGGGTTTATCATTTTAAAATTAAAACTACTGTTCAATAAAAAAAAAATAAGACACAATAGCTATTATAGTTGAAAACCAGACAATGCTGAGATCGTTCTAATATAAAATTTAATGTGATTCGATATTGTCTCTGCTTTAATTAGAAAGCATATTCAGGCTTGTACGGGAGTAATAAATGAAATGGCGCAGCTGGATTTCTAATATGTTTTAATCACAATATCTCAGAATTTTAGTAATTATTTCCAGATACTGAGTTTTTCCATCTTGTTCCCTAAACATTATCGTTACATTCATTGTTGCTCTCATTCAACTTTCACTTGGAGCTGGTTGGGAACATTGTTACGGTTACCGTTTTGTAATAGGTTCCAGCCAAAGATATAATGAGTGATGGACGTGGGAGTGGCTGTAGGTCGGAGCGCGGGTCACTGGCCTACACTGACGGTCCAAACCAAATGGCCATCGAGCTATTCTGCTTCTGGTATGTATGGGAGGAAGGAGAAGGTCTCCACGATCTAGCACTGGAAGGAAGGTATGGAGGTTTTGGATCTTAGGGGTACCGTCTTTGTGTTAAAGGCGTAATCGAAATCAAGCAGAACTTCATTTTCCTCAATTTTCAATATGTCTAAAACTAACTCGAAATTCAATTTTAACGGTATAGCCCAGACTTCAAAATGAAAAAAAAACTTTTAACAAGCTACTGAAAATACTGTACCCACTTTTTCTACATCAAAATTGAAAATCAAAGAAAAACTGGGGGAAAACACATAGACCTATTTACTTAAACCTATATGGACCTACGCCTCTCAGATTTACGGATCAGCAAAAAAGACGCCCTTATATAAACTAAAATATTTTCAATACAAAAATGTTCTGGTACGTAAGCAACAAAACTACCGACTTACTATAACCAACTATCGACCAACACACCCGAACTCTTTACTCTCAGTTTTACATTAAACTTCATGGACATAAAAACAGACTTAGGTTTCTATTAGAAAGACTGAAAAGGAGCTGGATGAGAGATCATTCCGGAATTAAGAAAACAAATAAAGACCAGAAAGAGGATAGAACCCAAAAGCTATTCTTCCTCATGCCCATAATACCATTTTTCCAAAATCACTACGACGACACATTTGCATATTGTTAAACTCATGACAGGTGCAGATTAATGTTTGAATAGACATAAAAAAATCAAAGCATTGATTTCATTATACTTATTGGGTTGTTCGTATATTCATACGGATTTATAGTGTTAAAATAAAAAAAATTATATAAAATTATTTATATTAATGAATATACTCTCCATTTCTCCAGATACATTTCTACCAACGTTTTGGTAACTTTTCCATTCCCTCTAAATATAATGTTGGGTCATTATTACTAAATTGGGGAAATGCATATTCTAACGATTTTTTATGAATACAATTTTTATTTTTTAATAATCGGCTAAAATGTTTTTAAAAAAATGATAGTCGGTAGGCGAGAGGAGGATTTCTCGGGTGAGGTTAATTCTGTTTGGGCTAAGAATTGTAGTTAAAATTTCTTAACAAAATTTTTTTGACGATCGTTTAATGAGTGAGGAGTCTGATTTTCAAGTTCTTTTATATATTTAATCTCACAGAATCTCGTCATCTAGGGAAGAAGTGCATCCACAACCATTTTTATCTTCAAGACTAAGATCTTCCTCTAGAAAATTTTTAAGCCATCGTTGAGGGATAGACTCATTCACTCTGCCATCTCCCCAGACTTAATTCATGTTTCTTCCGTTTGGGCTCCGTTCCGACCGATCTTAATGAAATGAAATTATTCGGAAATCCGCTTTGACATCTTAGTAAAGATTAAATTATTTCCAACTTTATTACTTGGAAGTGTGGTGTTAACATAAAAAAAACAAAAACATGAAACCTTGTATTATTTTCTGCATTATTGTACATAAGTGTGAATGTGTTTTATTTATTTTATTATCACTCAGCTTCAATCAATTATTTTATTTTTCTTGTATAAATGAATATTAATTTTCTTTATCTTATTTGCTTATTTTTTTTAATTTATCTATTTTTTTTTAATTTTAGTTAGTTATATTTTTTTCTCTTCTTATGTACATATTGTATAAATGAATACTGTAGTCCTAGTACCAAATGGCCTTCAGTGTGGCAGACTGTATTAATACTCAATAAAATCTTAAAAAAAAAATAAAATGTCCGCACAACGCAATACATTTTTCTCAACATTTCTTTTCATTTTTTAAAAGTTTTATCACGATTTAGGTCATGTCATCGAATATAAAAGTTAGATTTAGTTGACGACTAAGTGAATATTGGAAAAGGAAAAAGATGAAATTGCAGGAAAGGGTGAAATGCTTTTAAGGCTGAAAGGTCTCCAGGTGGATGGAACATCCATCTCCCGTAAGTTCTGAAACTGCTTTCAACAAGAGGGTCAAACTTGTCCAAACTTAGTGCCTGTAGTCTGTTAACTTATTGCGCTTTCAATATTTTAGAGCCTTAACCTTGCTCTGCAGTTATGGTCATGGATGCATAATACCTCATAAATATATTAATTTAATTCATAATTCAATTTTTTTATTTTTATAGTATCAGTTATAAATTAACATAAAAGCCAATATGAAAAACATATACATGTAAATATTGGAGCTAGTAGAAACATCAGGTTTGTCACTGATAAATACAGACAAATTCTTATGATAGAGATTTGGGAGAAAAACACTGTTTCATAACTACCTTTCATGAAAAATATTTTATTATTATATTTTTTTTTTTTTTTTTTTTTTTTTTTTTTATAAATGAACTATAATTTTAGAAAATTATATTTATTAACTTATATCCCATATCACGAAAAAAACAGAAATAAAAGCTTTACAACGGTTAATTGTAGTCATTTTTGGTGAAAACATGTGTGCTTTTAGCTGACTGGATAGAAAATCATTGCATTTCTTCATACAACAAATCTCAAAATTTTTCCCGATAAGCCTCAACTTAATTAATATGGACTTAAAGCTAATTAAACGCGAAAGTTTTTCTAAACATGGCTAACTGTAGTACAGTTGAAAGATGATAAAAACAATTCACAAATAATTTATAATTTTTTTAGCGGAAGTCTCTTTGAATGGGTTTTAACAAAAACTCTACTTTCGTTGGAAGTAAATTTCATCTAGTTTACTATGGAGTAATGTTTTATTACTTAAATCAAATATTTTTGTAGTTATTGCTTCCTATATTCAACAAAAAGCGGAAAGTATAAAAAAAAAAAATCGACAAAAAAAATTCATAAATTTCCTACTTTTTTTGAGTAATTGGAAATTGAGTAATTTTTTATACGAATTTTTTTGTAGATTTTTATGTCTACTGTCAACCTTTTAAATATTTCCCTGGTATAAATATATACCAACTATAAATATATAAAAATCCCAATCAAGGATCACTACTCCTTTATACAATGAAAAAATGGGAGCATTAAAAATTGATTCTGAAAAGATCTTGGAATTTTTTATGAAAATTGTTCTCCTACTAAGCAATAATATTTCGATTTTGTTTTTCATTCGAAATTAAAATCTGTGCCCCAGAGGTAAAGGACACCATGTCCACTTTTTTTATTAAATAATTTTGTTAATAAAAACACAACTTCCATTTTTTTTATGAAATAGTTTTGTTAATAAAAAACAAATTTTAATAGCTCATGGTTATAGAAAATCGGCTTCCCTGAACAAATGCAAAAATTGACATTATGTTGTTTGTATCCGAGTACAGAAATTTGTTCAGTGATAGACACCTCAGATATTTTATATCACATAAAAACTACGATAACGAACTTAAACTCATGTTACATTCAATACACTATGTACAACTGTCCAGTTTCTAACACTAGCTCGGATCATACTCTACTACGTTATAAATTATCATTATTTTCCATAAATAATAGATACTTTGACGTGTATCTCCTCGTTTATTTCCTCATCACATCCTGCTGGTATTACCCAAAACATCCATAGTATTTCATATCTTATGTTATTCATCATATCCTTCTCCAATTCACTATCTCCTTTTTTTCTGATACTATGAAGGTTGGGAACTAGCGCTTTAAAAACTATTAGCTCATATGTATATATTGTATTTTTTTAATAAATTTTGTCAGCTCTTTCATTACTTGGTAGTTTTTAATTTGGTTAATTATGTCAAAATGTTATATTCAAACACATTTATTATGTGTCGATTTCGTTAAAGAGCTGTCAATTTATATGAAAGAACCATTTTCTCTTCTATTATTATCCTTTTTTCTAGTAATTTTTTTTAAAATTTGAATATATATATATATATATATATATATATATATATATATATATATATATGTATATATATATATATACATATATATATTACACTTAATCATTAATAGATATCCCATCATTTAAAAATATTCCAATATAAAAAAAAAAATATCTTTTTAATAAGCAAAACTATTTTTATTTAATGTTTAATATAACGCCTTTTATTGATCATTTTCAAGTAACAAAACTAACAAAACAAAAAAATAACTAAAATTAAAAACTAAATCGCTACTTACACGAGTTACTGGCCAGTGACGTGGCTGGAAGAGAAGTAGTGGGATCTCCTGGAGTACTGCTTTGCCTTTCACTTTTGGAGGACAAAGTTTGGCTCGGAGCCCCCTGGGCGGATGTAAATATTGTACATAGAAATGAATGTGTTAAAAAGATTTATTTAATTTTTATTTTAAAATTTATTTCTTATTTCGGTCATATACTATTTATGTATGTTATTCTATTTTTATATTTACTTTTTTCTTAGTTTACTCATTTATTTTTATTTATTCATTTGTTTTGTTTTTTTTCGGTTGGTACAACAAACCATGAAGATCTGTTGTCGCGAGATGTGGTCACCTTACGTATGTAGCTTGCGGGAGCTCAGATAGTCTGGAGGGAGTCATCCTACCTCACGTTGCTACGAACCAAGGTCTCTATGGTACAGCGGCAGGTCATCCATAGCTCCATAGCCAATCCCTTTGGGGTCAATCTGGCAGCGTCCTTCCCTCCGACTCACTCGGGCTCAAGGACAGTGACAAATCGGTTTAGATCCGTAGATGATGACTGCTCGGAGTCTGCAGGCGCATGAGGACATATATTTCTTTCTCCGAAACAGACCGTCTATGGACCGAACCTCAGGGGGCTACTGACATCCTGGTAGATCATATCCCGATTCCCGATTAAGTTCACGGGGTTGGGTCATCAGCCCTACGCCCGGTCGGTCTGAGTTGTCTCCAGTAGACCAGTAGGCTGACGGGTATGAATGAAGGCATTTAGCCTTGCTACTTGTTGCCCTTCAATGTGGCAGATTGTACTATTCAATGTTGAATAAAAATTATATTAAAAAAAAAAGTTCGACGACTTAGCGCAATTGTAACTAATTTCCAATGTTTATTCTATTTGTTCAAAAGGTGACATTTTGTAGTCTGCAATTGCTATAAGTAGTCTGCTACTATGTAAATTATTATGGGGTCATAAAATATTAAATTATAAATA